CCTCTGTGGCTAACTCTGTGGCTGACTCTGTCCTCTGCCTTCAGGCAAGCTTTATTTCTTAGATTACAAATAAATATATCACCACAAGTTTCCATGGAAGTAATAAATGATATAAACCAGACCACAAAGACAAATGCATTTTCATATATATATATATATTTCTAATTTTAAAAAATAACATCAAAGTAAAAGGGTGATTATGTAGGAGGATGCTGTGGTCTAAAGGAATGGGCATATATTTGGCATATATATGTGTATATGTGTGTGTGTGTGTGTGTGTGTGTGTGTGTATACATATATATATATTACATGAAAATAGAAACTATTTTTAAGGGAACCAGCAAGAGACAGAAGTAGGAAAGGACAATGGGGGAGCAAATATAAACAAAGTACATGACACATCTGTATGAAAATGTGACAATGAAACTCATTTTATGTGCTAATTAAAAATAACAATAAAGGGAAAAGTATATATCATATATTTGAAAAGTGTATTTTATAATTTATATTTCTGAGTGCATCTAAGCTTATGCCAGGCTCTAAGATGGCCTCAGATAATTCCAGTGGTTTGATTTAGTCTGCTTCTAACAGCAGGGGCAGAAGTGATAGATCCTTATTTCTAAAATTAAGTCATTAAAGACTGTCTTACTTCCTAAATTCTCTACCCACCACCCTTGCATCTTGTTTTTCTTTCGTCATTACTCCATGACAGTGGTTCTCAACCTTCCTAATGCTGGGGCCCTTTAATACAGTTTCCCAAGTTGTAGTGACCCCAACCATAAAACTGTTTTCATTGCTACTTCATAACTGAAACTTTGCTACTGTTATGAATTATAATGTAAATATGTGATATGCAGGATATCTGATATGTGACCCCTCCAAAAAGGTCATTTGACTCCAAATGGGTCACGACCCACAGGTTGATAACCATTGCTCTAGGAGAAGCAAGATGACATGTTTTAATCAGTCCTAATGAAATAACCCTCTAGCAAGGAAGCGAGGTCTCCAGGAACTAGCCATTGAGGACTGGGGGACTGCCAACAACCATATGAGTGATCTTGGTATAGAAATGGTCTCCAAATTCATCTAGAAATATCTGCAACCTTGGTTGAGCTTCTGAATGGTCTTATTAATAAAAAAAACCCGGAGCCAGATATTGGGGTGAAAAGATCAGAGATCAGAAAAGCAGAAAAAAGCCAACCACTTTCTTACCACTTGGAGATCCTCCACCAAAGAGACCTACTTCCTGTATACCCACACCTGTATGCTTTCTTGTTCTGCATTTCACTTTGTCTCTCTGGCCAGCTACATCACTTCCTCTTTCTGCCCAACTCCATCACTTCTTGTCTGTCTGTACAGACTTCCAGACCTTTATAGTTAACTAGTGTTGGAATTCAAGGCATGTGCCACCATACTTGATTCTGTTTCCAGTGTGGCCTTGAACTCACAGAGATCCAGACAGATCCCTGCCTACCGAGTGATAGGATTAAAGGCATGTACTACCATTGCCTAACTTCTTTGTTTAATACAGTGGCTGGCTTTTTCCTCTGATCCTCAGATAAACTTTATTGGGGGACACAGATAAAAATATCACCACATCTCATGAAAGATTGTGAAGAAGAAACAACTAGTTCTCAGGGTTCCCTTGCACGAAAACTCCACCCTGCTGTAACACTGCATGACTTCAGTGGTTTTAGGAACTCTGGCCCAACCTGCCATAACCGCTTCAGTCCTGCCTGTGAAAGCCAGAACTGTGCAGGCACATCGGATGTAGCTAGCTAGCTTGTGATGTAGTCTGGATCCCTGTCACAGCTGTTGTGTCCTTTAAATTCTCAGTTTCAGACTCTGGGGAAATACCTCCCCGTGCACATTTTCTAGCATGCTAAGGGCAGCATTCTCGGTTCAGACTTTCTCCTTGAAAATGAATTTGAGTTTTTACAAGTGGCAGCTTTCCATGGGTAGGGTCTTGCCCTCACAGGGCCTTCCTGATTGTCCAAGTGCCAAATATCAGGTTTCTCTTTAATGGCACCTCTGTCTTCAACAAGTGTGGCTGCCCTGTTGGAATCACATCTGTCAGTTTAGTTTAGCCATGCTCAGCACCTTCCTTTGCCTAACTGCGGTTAAAAAATTCTGAAATTATTTTCTTTAACTTTAAAAAATATAATGTATGTTGACCATGTTTTAACCCAACTCTATCTCCTCCCATATCCTCCCCTCCTCCCTACCTGCCCAACTTCATATTCTCTTTCTTCCTCTCTTCTAAATCTCACCCAAACAAAAGAAATAAAAAATCAATAAGACAAATAAATAAATAAATAAGTAAATAAATAACAAGAAAAAAACCCACAAAACTAAAACAAAACCCAAAAAATCCATGGAGTTAGTTTTGTGTTGGCCAACTATTCCTAGGGAAGAGGCCTACCCTGGAGTGGGTAGTCAGGGTTTCTATTGCTGTGAAGAGATACCAGGACCACGGCAACTCTTATAAAGGACAACATTTAATTGGGGTAGCTTACAGTTCAGAGGTTCAGTCCATTATCATCCTGGTGTGACATGGTGGCATGCAGGTAGACATGGTGCTGGAGAGGTAACTGAGAGTTCTACATCTTTGCACAGGCAACAGGAAGTAGTCTGTCTCTCACTGGGCCTGTGTTGCTCATATATGAGACCTCAAAGCCCATCTCCACAGTGACATGCTTCCTCCAACAGGACCACATCTACTCCAATAAGGCCATACCTCCTAATAGTGTCTCTTCCTTTGGGGGCCATTTTCTTTCAAATCACCATACGCAGTGACACTCCAGTGTAGAAAACTGATTTTCCCCTTATCAGTATGTATAAATTGCAAATGGCTTCTCAGTTAGGGGTGGGACTGACTTTGTGTTCAATTCCCCTTGACATCTTTATGATCTGGTTTCTAACTTGGATTCATATTATGAACCTCAATAAATACAGTGATAATAACCATGCTAAAGTCTGGATGTTAGGCTGTCTTCAAATTTCCTCTGCCAAACAACTCAGTCCATTAGCTTCACTAAGACTTTCAGGAGATGAGCAGAATGTAGCCAGATCATCACCATTACCATAGTCACCACCACCATCACTATCACCACCACCACCATCATCATCACCATCGACATCATCACCAGAATGTGACACCAAAGACCTCTAGTTCAATTTCTGGTAGAGTTCTTATTCTCCTGAGAAATATGAGTCAGGTCTCCATTATCTACTTTTCTTTCATCATTCTGATTTGAATCTCCACTAGAAAGGCCCATTACATTCTGCTTATAGTATTCTAGGACTTCTTTAGTCCACAGGTTTTAAATTCTTCCTTGAAACAAACACCAGAGATTTCATGGTCAGGTTTATCACGGTTGCAACTAAAACCTTGACAAGAAGTGATTGAGGGCAAGAAGGATTTATTTTAATGCAGTTTCATGGTGGAGGGAGGTATGGTGGTTGGGGTTCTGATCACGTGGGAGCATGTAGCTGATACCACTGTAGCAGATGGAAGCAGAGAACTGAAGCCAGGAGACAGACATCAAGCAAATGCTTTTAATGTATACACATTCTCCAGACTTTCTGAGACTATTAAGCTATGATGTTTTGTATTATCCTTCTTTTTGTTTTTTGTTGTTTATCTTAATCATTGATTTCCTTATCTTCAGGATTTTTTCCTTTAAAAACACCCTGTGCCTCTATTATTTTCTTTTTTTTTTTTTTTTTTTTTTTGTTTTTTCGAGACAGGGTTTCTCTGTGTAGCTTTGCGCCTTTCCTGGAACTCACTTGGTAGCCCAGGCTGGCCTCGAACTCACAGAGATCCGCCTGGCTCTGCCTCCCGAGTGCTGGGATTAAAGGCGTGCGCCACCACCGCCCGGCCTATTATTTTCTTAAATCTTATATGAATATTCCTACTTTTAAAATAAAGTAAGTGAACTTCATGAACTCATTTGAAAACTTTTAATCAAACTTTTAAAAAATTTTGAAATAATTTTGGTTTGAGATGTTTTACTTTGACAACAGTTAAAAAATCTTTTAAATCACTTATGTTTTAGCTGTACCCACTTCCCAGACAGGATCTCTCTACATAACCCAGGATGGCCTCCAATTCCTAATCAGCTTGTCTTTGGTTTCTGAGTTGTTGGATTAAAGGAAGTTTGGCTTAAACGTTTTAGCTCACTAATCCCATATTTTTACATTGTAATATGTAGAAGAGGAAGAAAGAATTATACACATATTTTTAATTTCAAAATGTTAATGTTACTTCCCCTCTTGAGAACTACAGTTTCTAGCTGTATCCTATTTCTGTTAGTAACAAAAGCATTGAACTGCAAGCTTATTTTTAAAAAAACATTTCATTGTGAAACAGAACACAGAACAGAATGAAAACACGTTGTTTTGCAAGGTGATAACACAGTTTGAAAATGTGTGCTCCCTTATAAGAGCAAGCGATACTCTACTGCGTCTGGAAGGCTTTATTTACTTATTTAGAGGAAAACCATACTAGATATGCCAAAAGAAATGTGACAAATCTACTTGGTGGGCATATAAATGTTGGTTATGTTACCCTCTGGATGTTCCTCTGTGTTCAAAATGGCTGCAATCAAAGCACAATAATGAAAGAGAACTGAATACAGAGGTAGATAATGTTTTTTAGTGTTTGAGATAATATCTGATGACAGTTTTTTTCTAAAGATAAAAAGGAAATTGGAAGAAGGGGGAAAAGGAGGATAATAGACATTATATATCATTTTAGTTGTCTGAATTGAAATTGGGAAGAAGACGGCCATCCAGTGTACCTCCAACTTTACAGTGCATTGGAATCTTCTGCAAGGTAGATCGGCTAGCTAGGGTCCCTACAGTGTTCCTAATTCAGCAGGTCTGAGGTACACACCAAGAACTCCCTTTCTGATCAGTTTCCACACAGTACTCCACTTGATGATGCTTCATGCATCATAGAAGATGGTCTTCATGCACATAAGATGTTTCTAGCAGGTGTCTGAGGCCCACTGCTGCAGCTGCTGCAGGTCAGAGCAAACGCCGCCTCCTAAAGGGCTCAGAAAATTACCCTTGTCTGATGGAGCTGCCTTCCTTGCAGTGCTGCAAGGCTTCCACTCCCACCTCCACCACAGCAATTGAAGGACAGGTGATTACCAAACCCTGGTCCTTACCTAGAGAAAGGATAGCTCTGTGCTCTATGGTTTACAGCCTAGAGATGCTCCCAGCCCTATCAGGCCCTCCCTGCCACTTACAGAGCAGCCCCAGGCTGTTCCTCTTCTCCTTTTCTGTTTTCCATACTCAGTTCTGGGTATTTATTTGGTGATGAACATACGTCTGTCAGTCTCTGGCATCTACATCTCTGTGTCCAGCTTTGCTTCTAGGGAGTCCTGGCCCACATGATGAAAATATGAAACTTTTTGCTTCTAGGGTTTGTCTTAAGGTCATCAGGTATCCCCTAGGGGAGTGCTGTGGGTTCACACTGAAGCTATTCACAGAGTTGGAAGCACTTTGGTGAGTTGTGTTCTCTCTGTCATTAAAGTTTGAAAGACAGAAATATAGACTTAGCATGAAAGAATTTTTTTTTCACTGTTGTATACTTTATAAAATCAAACACAGTTTACATTGTCTTGGTAGAGTCATTGAACATGATAAGGCTTTCTGTGAAAAACACAAACTCAGGACCTTGTATAGATGATTAGTGTTGCTTTCTTCTAAATGAACAGCCTTCTGAGAGCCTGGCTTTTCCTCCTGTGGGCTGGCACACACTGTTGAGCAATCTACGCAGAGACAAGGCTGTCCACTCTCCCCATACTTATTCAATATAGTACTTGAAGTTCTAGCCAGAGCAATAAGACAACATAAGGAGATTAAGGGGATTCAAAGTGGAAAGGAAGAAGTCAAGCTTTCCCTATTTGCAGACGACATGATAGTATACTTGAGTGACCCCAAAGATTCCACCCAGGAATTGATAAAGCTTATAAACACCTTCA